GCCTTTTCTTGTTTGCAACCCTAATGTTGATATATACGGTTCCTGTTTGTTGTTGTTGTTGTTGTTTTTATTCTTCAGTATTAAACTTTTTGAAAAGACAAATTAAAAATAAAACAAGTTTGTCTTTGAAAGTACAGAAGGGCAAGTGTTAACATAACAAGCATAAGACAGCTCGGTAGGTATACACGCTGGTAATCTTCACACTTCCTATCTCCTTTATGTTTTCTCTTCAGAGTTTGAAAACGAAGAGAAAAGAAGTAAATAAGTCCATGATTGAAAGTACATTGAGGCAGAAAGTAGGCGTTATAATTAATATACAATTTCCATGTTGTTTCAAATGAATCCTTTGTCTTTTGTCCCCTGGTTACCTTTAATTTTTGTGTTATTTTCTCTAAAGGAGCACATTGCCAGGCTCTTTGGTACCACTGATCAAGATTTACAGTTAATATACAGTGGTACCTCAGGTTAAGAACTTAATTCGTTCTGGAGGTCCGTTCTTAACCTGAAACTGTTCTTAACCCAAGGTACCACTTTAGCTAATGGGGCCTCCCGCTGCCGCCGCGCGATTTCTCTTCTCATCCTGAAGCAAAGTTCTTAACCCGAGGTACTATTTCTGGGTTAGCGGAGTCTGTAACCTGAAGCGTCTGTAACCTGAAGCGTCTGTAACCTGAGGTACCCCTGTATACTGTTGATTCTACTTTGCTTAAACCCCCTCTTCATGACCACCAGTTCTACTGCACACCTTTTTGGTGTGAGGGATTTATACCACAATGGTCAGGTAAGTAATTTCCTGGGATTCCACCACATCATATTCTTCCTTCCTTCCGTAGCTGGAATAAATGTCCAGCTCCACACACACTCAGAGACCTGCTGGCCAGCAGCACCTGCGAGATACCAGTGTCAGATTGACTTAATGTTGCCCCTGAATCTCAGAATTAGGAGACTGGGAGATGAGAGAGGAGGCGCTGCTGTAACCTGTGTTCCTTGTCTAAGGCCTTTGAGGCTCATGAAACGGCGCTGAACTCTCTGCGACATGTGATCCCACAGATCCCGAGGTTCTGAAGACATCTGTTTCCCGTTATGAAGGCCACTTGTTAAGTCAGGCTTTTTGTTTACACAGCCAATAAATATAAAGGCGGATGTCTCTGAAGATAAATAACTCGGGAGACAGCAATCTATTTAAGCCCAGCCCGCATTATTAGTCAAAGGTAAATGCAATTGCCAGCCAATGAAGGGAACGGGGTGGCATTCATACTCCACGGCCCGTTCCGAGCCGAGTCTGAAGGACAATGAAGTGTGATATTGTGCCGCTCAGTGTAGCAATCAGCAGCGAAAACACAGCATAAAGCGCTTCGATCCTACTTTAGCCCTTCAGGCTCTAACGAAGATAAAGCTGTTCAATTTCTCCGTCCTGCCGCAGGTGGGGAGACAGCAAGCCTTAGCGCGAGGGCTGCTCTGCCTAGTGCAGAAACGCCTTGCTTCGCTAGGGGACGAGGAGGGAAGGAGACAAGAGTGGCGCATGTGCTCTGCGGCTGTTTGCTTTCGAGGAAACCCATGTGTGCAAACCTCTTTTTTGCACCAATCCTGCTCAAGCACCTATGGAAATGTGCACATAGCGGTGCTCAAGGGCCCAGTCCTCTGCATATATGTATAAAACATGTGCAACTATGTGCAGGTGTCAACACAGCTGTGGCAGCTATATGGCTATAATCTGCATATGCACACCATCCTGTGCACACATCTATCTCTTCATAAAGCACTTTAATGTATAATTCTGGCTAGAGAAATGATAGGTGATAGGAACTTACGGCAAGAAAGTGCTTGCCCTCATCTTGGGCCAAGCAAGCAAATGCCAACTGCTCAGTCTCACTTTCTTGACTCTGAAGCCATCTGTGGGCTTATTGGTGGTTTTCAGAAGGTTGCAAATTCGATACATATACATCTTAAATTCATCTATGTATATGTAATATTCAGAAGGTTGCAAATTTTACATCTGTGGGGTCTGCTGCCCTAGTAGGTGACAGTCGAAGCTCATCAAACACAACTCTGTATACGAAATAAGTCTACTGTACACTAAATATCTCGATGCAACATGTACCATAACTCAAAATAGTGAGAGCTTAAAGAATTTGTGTACAGTCTCAGATCAAGCTTGAAGAGATATACAGTGGTACCTCGGGTTAAGAACTTAATTCATTCTGGAGGTCCGTTCTTAACCTGAAACTGTTCTTAACCTGAGGTACCACTTTAGCCAATGGGGTCTCCCGCGCCGCCACCACACGATTTCTTAACCCCTGGTACTATTTCTGGGTTACTGGAGTCTGTAACCTGAAGCGTCTGTAACCCGAGGTACCACTGTATACAGTCTTACAAATGTCACCGGGTTCAAGAGTTCAACTGTGATGTACTGAAGAACAGAATGCCGATTCTCTGTGTTAAATCTTGTAGTTAAGAAACTGTGTATGAGGAGGCAGGGGCGTAGGGCGGGGGATGCGGCTCACCCAGGGTATCACCCTGAGGGGGGGTGACACAGTGGCAGGTGGCACTCACCACGGGACCTGCAGCGCGCCCAAGCCACGCGTCTCGGGTGCCCGCAGGCTCCGCGCTGCCTGCCTGCTGCCTCCCCCCCAGCTGTTGGGATACTGCCAGGGAGACAAAGTCCATCATGGCCCCAAGCCATCTGCCGGACGATCCATCGATCTCCCGTAGGCACGCAGTACCAGCAATTAGCGACACGAGTTTCTAGAAAATATATTGCCACATTCCAGAGCTCATGCACACTCTATCAGCAGATAATGCACAGCCAAAAGTTGCACTCAAGAGAGCATTATTTACAAGTTTATTCAGCGTTGATCAGAACACAGAAAAACATGACTGCCTGCTTTAGTGTCTACGACACATAGAGAGAAAACGAAAGCAACAGAAAACAAACATCCTGTGAACAGGAAATACGCAGACTCTGTGACTCACAGCCTGCTCCCTTTTAAGGTGGAACGGAAATATCCTAACACCAGCTGTAGGGCGGCCGAGGGAACGTGTGCACTGTTGTTATGGGCATCTTAAGGTATACCTGGGGTGGGGAACCTGTAGCCCTCCAAATGTTTCCGAACGACAACTCCCCTCACTCCTGGCCTTTGGCTGATGGACGTGGTAGTTCATCAACATATCGAGAGCCACAGGTCAGCCCTCCTGGTTTGTACTATCAAGGGGATGAAGTACAGTTCTTGGGGAACAGGGGTGATACGGAGTCTGTGTGCATTAGTTCATAGGCATGCAAGATCAGCTTCATGGGGTCACAAGTGGTTTTCAAGGATCTGGGAAGGACAAGTAGATGGAGTGTGTTTCCCTGGGACATTGTGGCCTGATGGGACATTCTAAAGTTCTCTGCATCTAATGCATCAGTGGTTTGAATGTGATCATTTTCCATCTGCTGCCCAGATACATTTATACTTTCCAAACCATACTAGAGGAAAACCCTCAGTAGGAAACTCAGCAGTCCTTTGGGTACTTTGGAAAGTTTCTTCCCCCACCACCAAGTCACTAATCTCCCCAAGCCCAGAATCACATGAACACAGCCGAGACAGCTGAATTCCCTTTTATCTTTTGGGTTTAGAAGGGAAATCCCAAAACCTGGCTCAAAGCAGCATTCTCCAGAGGGAAAGTGAGCCAGACTCTGAAGAGTCTTTGCAACTGAAGCACACTAATGAAATGCAATTAAAAGAGAGCTCTCCTAATCTTCCTTTTTCTCTCTGTTGCTCCCTCCTGAATTTAATAAGAGTTTTCTTGACGATCGCTTTGGGAGCCAGCTTCTCCTTCAATGACTTCACACCTCAAGCGCCTGAAGTACACCTGGCCCAGTTCTCGGTGGAATGCACTGAATAGATACGTCGTGGAGATTCTGGTTCCCCTTTATGGAGAAGGGCCATCACTTAGTGACAGAGAATTTGTTTTGCATGAAGAAGGTCTCAGGTTCAATCCCTGGCAACTCCAGATAGGGCTGGGAAAGATTCCATGTCTAGAGAGCCACTGCCAGTCAGTGTAGACCATGGGTAGGCAAACTAAGGCCCAGGGGCTGGATCCGACCCAATCGCCTTCTAAATCCGACCCACGGACAGTCCAGAAATCAGCGTGCTTTTACATGAGTAGAATGTCCTTTTATTTAAAATGCATCTCTGGGTTACAGTGGTACCTCGGGTTAAGTACTTAATTCATTCTGGAGGTCCATTCTTAACCTGAAACTGTTCTTAACCTGAAGCATCACTTTAGCTAATGGGGCCTTCAGCTGCCGCCACGCCACCGGAGCCCGATTTCTGTTCTCATCCTGAAACAAAGTTCTTAACCCAAGGTACTATTTCTGGGTTAGCAGAGTCTGTAACCTGAAGGGCATGTAACCTGAAGCGTCTGTAACCCGGGGTACCACTGTATTTGTGGGGCCTGCCTGGTGTTTTTACATGAGTAGAATGTGTCCTTTTATTTAAAATGCATCTCTGGGTTATTTGTGGGGCATAGGAATCCGTTCATTTCCCCCCAAAAAAAATATAGTTTGGGCCCCCACAAGGTCTGAGGGACAGCAGCCCCCTGCTGAAAAAGTTTGCTGACCCCTGGTATAGACAATACTGAGCTACAGCAGTAGCACAGTATGAAGGGGCACGGGGCAGTCGCCCTGGGTGCAAAATTGTTAGGGGACACAAAATTCCATCACCCAGTGCTGCCTCAATACAGCTGCATGCTTCTGTTGCTGGGCTCTGTTGAAAACGGCTTCTCCGTGCAAACCAGGAAGTGACCTCTGCAGACAATGGAATGACTCTTCTTTTCTTATCTCTGCAGCTCCCCTCTGTGCAGCCCTGACTGCTGGCAACCCACGCTACGCCACTGAGCTACAATAGATGGCCCCATGGTTTTCCTTTGTTTCCCCAGCAGCATGTTACTCTGCTCCTCCCATGTAGAATCATAGAGTTGGAAGGGACCCCAAGGATCATCTCCTACAACCAATATGCAGCTGGCCTGTACAGGGAATAAAACCTGCAACCTTGGTGTTAGCAGCACCACGCTCCAATCAACTGAGCTAACTGGACTATATGACTTCCATATAGTCATGTGGTGCGAATAAATGCTAACTGGCATCCAGAAAACATACACACGCAGTGTCCAAGACAGCGTTGCTGCTACCTGTTGTCTGGCAGCAGGAGTACCAGCTGCCCCTTGTCTCATCTAAGGAGCCTTGCTGTGTTATCATGGGTTTTTTATGAGACCACCAAGGCACCTTGCAACTAGTGTTCCCTCCTGCCGAGAGCACTGGAGATATTCATCATGATAGATTTGCTGAACAGATGTGCATGGTGGAGGCCAGAGCTGTGAAGCAGAAGTGTGAAATTGATCCATTTCCCTGACTGGCCGGTGATATTTGCCTGGATGAACAAATTCAAAGAATAGCTTTTTCTTCGTCGAGACTCAACATCTGATGTGACTGAACTCCTCAATGAATACTAATGGTGGTCAAAGGACTCAGACTTTGACAAAGGGACTTTTCCATTCGCAAGAACGGGACAGAGTGAAATGTGACGTAAAGGGGCCACTGCCACCACAAATGGACATCTGCCTGGATAATGGCCTTGATTTCAAAATCAAGTCCTGATAATCCAGTCGATCCACAACTTGCAATATGAAGAAAGTGGGCACTGCCAAGAGGGAGGTTTCTTTCCATCACACTCGATCACAGCATCTGTCTTCACAAGGTTGTTGTTGTTTAGTCGTTTAGTCGTGTCCGACTCTTCATGACCCCATGGACCAGAGCATGCCAGGCACTCCTGTCTTCCACTGCCTCCCGCAGTGTGGTCAAACTCATGCTGGTAGCTTCGAGAACACTATCCAACCATCTCGTCCTCTGTCATCCCCTTCTCCTTGTGCCCTCCATCTTTCCCAAAATCAGGGTCTTTTCCAGGGAGTCTTCTCTTCTCATGAGGTGGCCAAAGTACTGGAGCCCCAGCTTCATGATCTGTCCTTCCAGTGAGCACTCAGGGCTGATTTCCTTCAGAATGGAGAGGTTTGATCTTCTTGCAGTCCATGGGACTCTCAAGAGTCTCCTCCAGCACCATAATTCAAAAGCATCAATTCTTCACAAGGTATTTGTATGCAATGACAGCCCCACCACACACACACACACACACACACACACACACACACACCTTTCTTTAAATTTTTTTTTTAAAGTGCTTGAATGCTGTGGATAAAATCACCCAGTTCACACGGTGAGCTGCTGCATAGAGACAGCCACCATGTGGAGCGCTTTAAAATTACCTTCCTAATAAAACTATCTAATCATGGATAGACCTGAAACTTTGCAATATCCTCCAAAAGGAAAGGCCTTAATAGCCTGCATTTAATAGACAACTGCTGTTGTCCTATTTTCTTTTCAGCAGCTGTAATCTGCTGGCAAGAACCAAACATTTTATAAAATGTGCTTTTTGTCTTCCTCCCTCCCCTTCAGTAAGAAATGACTGGTCCTTTATCTGGTGAGCCCTGGGCTTTGTTGATGCACTTTCCCCCCTCCCTGCCTGCCCGACTTTCATGCTTAAAGGGATGTTGCTCTATTGATTTCTGCTGGAAGCGTCAAGCACACAGATTGGAGCATATTAAATGCCACGGTGCTGGCTTTTCTATGTTTTTGGGCAATTTCACTGTGTGAAAGATGCAGAAACATCAGGAGGAAGTGCGGTGGTCGGTAGATGATCCCCGCCGCCACCGTCTGAGTTCCCGTCTCCTAATCTTCAAGATGCAATCGCCCCTTTCAGGTTTTCACTTTGCCAGTCCCCAGCATGCAGCCAAGAAAGATGACCTCTGAACATAAGAGGGTAGAACAAAGAAAATTGCACAGCAGAAGTCGGTGGCAAACCCACTATCCATGGGAGACTTCAGGCAGAGCATCCTCACCAGGGAAAAGCAAATAACTGATTGCGCCAAGCAATTACAGGTCGCTGTGGCCCAAATCATCTAATGACATAGATTGATGCAATTATGCTGAAAGTTTTCTTTCTTTGATTTCCATTGCAGTTGTCCATACTGTGGCCATGTAAGCTGGCAAGATTTCATAGGAGCACAGGAAAACTCTAGAGATGTCAAGGTGACCCAAGGTCAATGCTACCTTGTTCTGATGATCAGATGGATGATGTGAAATCAGAAGTTGCCTAATGGGCTAACCTCAGTAAGATGTCCTGTGGTCCTTCAAGAGCTGAGCATTTCCTTGCAATAAATATGAAACAAATGGACAAACATTCACATCTCTGTAGAATAGTGTTGTTGTTTTAAACGCAACCTGCTTTATTTTACCAGATTTGTGGCATGTTTCAACCATTCAGAACTTGGAAATAAGTGGAATTTTGCCAAACACCAAACTCTTCCAAAACAAAAACCCAGAATAGTTGGGACACAGGCTGTCTGTGAAAGCAGGTTTGATAAATCTGTACATAATGGATCTCTCAAGAACAAAACCAGTTGAACTGGTTTCTAGTAAATGTAATATGAATACAACAAACCACAAGAAAGCAATGCAATGCCACGTGGTTCCTTCAGTATATAAGCCCAAAATCTAACATTAAGGGTCACTATGAGAACTTGATGGAAGCATTTTATCCTACGTTTGGCTGCCCCATCTGACTTGGCAAAAATCACAAGGAGCTTCTTGCTGTCTATTCAAGGACATCAGGCATTCTGTATTTTCCAAATACAAGGCTCCACATTCAGTAGCCCTTTCAAATGCACGATACACATTCACCATTTCTTTGTCTAACACAAGCATGACAAATAGCAGTGCTAGTAATCTGGAGGCAAGGAGGAACAGATAGTCTATGGGCAGCTCTAACTTACGAGCCAAATCAATCAGCATCTGTCCAAGAGAATTCCTTTCAGGCCCCTCCAAAGAATTATTCATTCATCACTTGATCTCTGCAGAAGTGAACATTGCAATACCACCTTCCAGCCAGCAGGGATCAGGCCAGCCAACTCCAACAAGGTGCTATGTGGGTGCAGAGAGGAAAGCACATTGGTCATGCAGCTAGAGTTCCTGGTTCAAGGCCCCTGTTCGCTTGTAAGGTAAAGCTGCTGAATAATGCAATAGGACTTCTTAAATATACTTTAGAGAATGGTTTTCTTCAAAATGAGTTGCCTTCTCTTTTCCGTACTGTCTTCCTGTTGTCAATAAACCAGAGGCAAGAAGCAACAAGTAGATTGAGTTCTGTTGGAAGATCCCATAGATTTGGAAGGGACCACAAGGGTCATGTCGTCCAAGCCCCTGCAATGCAGGAATCTTTTTGCCCAACATAGGCCTTGAACCCACAACCCTAAGATGAAGAGTCTCATGCTCTACCAACTGAGCTACGTGGGTGTTTCTTGGTTCCAAAGGGCAGCTCAGAGTGATTTGAAGTAGATACTAACAACAGCAGCAACAAAAATGCTCCTTCCTGAAATGAAGGAAGCATGGGGCAAGGTGTTCCTTTATTTGAAGGGCTGTCTGATCCAAATATAAAATGGACCGTAAGATGGGAGAGCATTATCACCTGGATGGGGACAGAGCAGGCACACAGAACAGAATCTTCCAAATTATGTTGAAATGCATTGTATTTCTGATTCAGTTATAGTTCTTACATTTGCATCTGTACATATAAAATAATACATGCAATTTTTTGGTGATTCTGTGCTCCACTTTGTTGTTGTTGTTGTTTTATGTTTTTCCTCTTTTTTTGGCAACGCATAAGTGGCCACCCTATTGCGGGAGAAAACCAGAAGAGGAAGAAGAAGAAGAGGAGGAGGAGGAGGAGGAAGAGGAGGAGTTTGGATTTGATATCCCACTTTATCACTACCCGAAGGAGCCTCAAAGCGGCTAACATTCTCCTTTCCCTTCCTCCCCCACAACAAACACTCTGTGAGGTGAGTGGGGCTGAGAGATTTCAGAGAAGCGTGACTAGTCCAAGGTCACCCAGCAGCTGCATGTGGAGGAGCGGAGACGCGAACCTGGTTCACCAGATTACGAGTCTACCGCTTTTAACCACTACACCACACTGGCCCATGATTGAATGAAAAGACAGTTGCGGAACAGAAAACATAGCTGCACTGGGCATGTGTGCTCAGAATTAGCCTGCTTATTTATTTTACATCTGCCCCCTTGAAACTGGTGGATCTTGGGATTCTTACAAAATAATAATAATCCTAAAAATCGGAAGTCCTTCTACTTCTATGGAGCTATAGCCAAGCAAACAGCATCTAAAAGTTAAGTAGCTGAAGGGAAAGGCTGTGCCCGGAAAGCAATTTAATTAATCGGCATAAATGGGGAAGTTCACAGTGTGAAGAGTTCTGAGTGGTTGAGCAGTTAACTATGTCACCTAGGCAGAAGGTATAAAAGGGAAAAGGGGGAAAGCAATTGGTGCCCTTTTCTACTAAGCACCCCTCCACACACACACAAATTAACACCAATGAAGAAGCATTACAGGATGGAGGGAAAGGCTCTGGGGCATTTATTTGTGGAGATTAGGACTGCATTTCCTGTTCCATTTTTCAGGACTCTTGCTAACCAGAATTCTGTAGGAAGTGAGAAATCCCATTTGTGCATCAGCCGTTGGCCAATATTAGCTGATAGAGAAATAAAATGATAAATTGAACTCACCTGTGGCAGGTATATATTGTCCAAGTTGCTAATAATAACAAACGATCAGTGAATCTTGGAAGCTTTCCTGGTCCCTGGAGTGAACACTGCCACTTCTACTTATTTTGCTAAGCCTTTGCACAACAAGCATTCTAAAGTGATCCATTTGCTACAGTTGTACTAGCAGCTCAGAGAAGGGGGGAGGGAGAGAGAGAGAGAAGAGAGAGAGAGAATTGCTCCCCTGTATGCCACGCGGGTGGCATTGTGGGTTAAACCACAGAGCCTAGGACTTGCCGATCAGAAGGTCAGCGGTTCGAATCCCCGCAATGGGGTGAGCTCCCATTACTTGGTCCCTGCTCCTGCCAACCTAGCAGTTCAAAAGCACCTCAAAGTGCAAGTAGATAAATAGGTACCGCTCCGGCGGGAAGGTAAACGGCATTTCCGTGCACTGCTCTGGTTCACCAGAAGCGGCTTAGTCATGCTGGCCACATGACCCGGAAGCTGCACGCCAGCTCCCTCAGCCAGTAAAGCAAGATGAGCACCTCAACCCCGGAGTCGGTCACGACTGGACCTAATGGTCAGGGGTCCCTTTACCTTTACCTTTATGTCAAGTTACATGCAACATTCTACTGCGGGCAGGAAGATAAGGGGACACAACGATGCTCTTGAGACACCCCAAAAACATTTCTCTCTTCCCCGGAATTGTCAAAGTGTGAGTGTACAGCCCACGCTCAAGCCAAATCACAGTTAATATGGGCGCATAAGAAAGTGCTCGGCCAATAGCCTATGGTTTAATCATACACTTGGCTTGCATTAGGCCTAGTGACAGCATCTATATATATCAGTGGTCAGCACTGACTGTACCACAGGGTAGCTTCTGGTGGGTTTGGTTCCATGCTAGCCAGTGCCTTCTAGAAAAAGAGGTACAGGAACTCAACATGAACACCTCCCTCATTCTCTTAGAACAGCAGTGGCGCCCACCTGAGAGGTGCCGGAACTGTGTTCCTGAGATTTCCCCCTGAAAAAACTGCCCTGGTACTAGCACAGGAAACTGGGAATATTGGAAATGAGGAGGTGGGCATCTCGGAAAGATAGCCTTTACATTTATAGGTGAAATGTGTATCACCTGCGATGACTAACTCCTACTGTTCCTGCATTTACTGCTGCTTATAACCCAGCCAGATGGGCGGGGTATAAATAATAAATTATGATGATGAGGATGATGATGAGGAGGATGATGATGATGCAGGCCAAAGAGGGGACAACTGATGGAATCAGATTGTGGACCAATCTTCCTCCTTTCCCCCTTCCAAACAGCTATGTGGCTGTCCCCCTCTATTCCTTGCGATGGCAGACTTATTCCATGCCCCACATTTCAAGGAAGAAGAAACCCATGACCAAATATGAATCAGATAATGAAGCATGCTGGTATTCTTTTTAAATAAGTATTAAAATCTGGGAGAGCAGTCTTAGAGATTAAACTCTCAATACTGGTTCCGTTGATGGCTGTTTAAAATAAAATAAAATAAGTTCCCTTTGAGATGGACTCTGCTTTCAGTTTATTCCCGTGGAAGGGAGAATGGGGAAGAGGAACAGGTTAACTCTACTGATTTCCATAAAGCATCTCTGGATTCTCAGCGCCGTAATTGAGATCAGAATCCAACTCTAATTTCAAAATAAAATGTGAGTTCTTCAAACAGCTTCCAGTGCCTGGGGGGCGGACTTTGAACATCATTTTATGCTCCTTTTATCCTATAAGAGGCTGTGTTCTGGTCTCTGCAACACCCATGAAATTCAGCATGGATGCAAAAGGGAATAGGATTGAGCTGTTTTTTATTCCCTCCTCCCGCCCGCCCGCCCCACCGCATCCATTCTCACTTTCCAACCATCTGCACAAATCCAGGATCTTTGTTCCTCATGGTTGAATCTGACTGTTCTCCAACCTGGAAGCAGTTCCTTTCATTGTCTTCAGTCAAAGGAAGAACAAAAGGCAAAGAGGCAGAAAAGATGATCTTGTCTCAGAATTTGTTGTATAGTGAGCCTATGGTCTCCCCACCCTCCAGCACTCCCCAGTTTTCTCCCAAACACTACTCTGGGCCTCGGCTGCAGTGTGAGTTGATGAATGATAGGGCATCTCGCTTGACATTCAGGATGAATTGATTGGCCCTCAACCACCTTGTTTAGGAGGACAGGTTTCTTTTCTCCCCCCCCCTTCCCTTTTTCCGGGGGGGGGGGGCAGGAATCAGAAAAGAAAATACAGTGTGATTGCGAATCGTTTTCAGTCGCCGGTAATAATAATAAATGCATCCAGCAAATTGCACTCTCTCTCTCTCTCTTTGGAGGAGCTAATCTCTATGCAAAGCCTTTCTTCTAAGCACCAGAGGGGGAAAAGAAACCATAGCAAACCAGGGTGTGTGTGGAAGGGAGGGGGTGGAAATCAATTTCTAATGCACTTTGTTCATTGAATAGGAGAAGTTCAATCCCAACCTGTCTTTTCATGTCTTCTATTAGCTCTGTCAATTTCCCACCTCCTCTTAAGTTTCCGGGATGAACACATTTCCACAGAAGGGTCTGCAGTTTAGTCAGAACAAACTTCACGGAGTTATTGCTTCCCGGGGGGCATCTGATGTGTTTCCTTCCAGCAGAGCTGCCTGACAAAGAATGGGTCAGGAGATGGATGCCAACCTTTTAGCAAATGGCAAGGGGGCGTGTTTTCACAAAGCACAACTGACCAAACTCAGCAGGGGCTCTCTGGCTGTTCGACTTTATCAGGGACAACACCTGTTCTCTGGCACCCGTCCCCAGGAAAATTACATCCTTCCATTGTGCCTTTTTCAAATTTGGTTAGTGTGTGTATACATGAAACAGACTGCAGGGTTTGGAGGACGTCGGCAGGCACAGTTCCATGTCTTATACAAGCACTCGCACTCAATGTCTGTGACCCTGAAATATACTCGGAGTTAAGCGTGGATTTCATGCTCTTTATTCAGCTCATAGTGGTGAGGAGGAATGGAAGTTCCCCCAGAATGTCTGCTTTATATACATTATTTACACAATGGTCCCCACGTGATTGGCTAATTCCGGGATTCACCTGTAGGCCAATCAGGTTGAGGATTCACTTCCACCTGCAGCTGGATTGGGTGGCTCCTGTGGACCAATCAGACTGCTGCATTCTGAATCCTATTGTTCTAGGACCAATCAGATTGATGCATTCTGAATCCTATTCAACTCAGTACATAACAGACCCCAAGGTGGACAGACAGCAGGAGGCTCACCAAACCACCGGCCAATTCTGAGAACAGGTGGCATACTCTCTGTATGCAGTGCTCCAGGGGTCTCCAAACATTTTGGGTCTGCTGGACGTATTTGGAAGCCTAAGGAACTATCCATTTCATAGAAGTAAAACTGGTGATGTTCAGAACCCTGCTACAAACACACACACCCAATGAAACACAGGAAAATAAGCAGACACCACCTCCCTCCTGCAGTCCCATTTGGGGGGGGTGAAGGTATCATGGGGGCCACAAGCACCAAATTGGAGAGCCTAGCCGTGCTCAATTCTAGCGAACAGCTGGCCCCATAAGTCTTCTCTTCTCTGCTGCCTCACAAAGGTATGCCCTGTGGGAAGGTGGGAGTTTTGCCCCTGTGATGCCTCTAAGCAATGTTATCTAGGTCATGTATCAACTTCTTGCCCTCCTGACAGGTCTTCATACTTTGCTCTGTCTCTCTTCTTATACGTCATCCCT